TGCCCGCTCGCAGCGGGACCGAACCGGCGGCTGCAGAGACCCCGGCCCCGCGGCGGGCGGCGGCTCACGGATCCGCACTGTGCGCAGCCGAGCGCGCGGCGCTGCCTCGGAGCGATGCGTTGAGCTCGCGGAGGGCCGAGCGCGGGGCTCGCCGGCAGCTCGGGGAGCCGACCCCATGGAGCCCGCGGGCGCCGGGAGGAGCCTGCGGGCGCCGCCACCGCCGCCGCCGCTGCTGCTGCTGCTGCTGCTCCTGCAGGTGGCGGGGCCGGCGGGCACCGTGGCTGAGACCCTGCTGGACGCGTCCAGGGCTATGGGCTCCAGCTCCAGCCCGCCGAGCCCCGCGAGCGTGGTGGCTCCCGGAACGACGCCGTTCGAGGAGAGTCGTTTGCCAGTGTTCACCCTGGATTACCCCCACGTGCAGATCCCCTTCGAGATCACCCTGTGGATCCTGCTGGCCTCCCTGGCCAAGATAGGTGAGCGAGCTGGACCCGCGAGCTGGGGTGGAGGCGATCGGAAGGGGACGCCCGGGTGGGCGTCCGAGTAGGCGAGTTGGCCTCTGGGTGGTGGCCACCTCCCTGCGGATCAGGGCAGGGGCGACAAAGCAGCTTCTGTTCCAAAGGGACCCCGGGAGGAACACTTTCATGCTTTGGTTCTTAAGTGGACATTGGCCTTGAAATAGCCCGAAACTATTAGTCCATACAAACTCAGCGATTTGCTTCTTGCTTTTGCCTCGGACACCAAGTGGTACAGCCTCCTGCCAAAGTAGAGACCTGTTTACTGAGGGAGGAGGCGAGTTAGCTGAGGTTTATTGGTCTCCCCCACTGGGAGAGAGGTGAGGGCTAGCACAGAGACTAAAACGGTTAAAGCCCTGGATGCTCTGAGAGAGAGGCGCCTTGGCAGTGACCCAGACCCTGCCATGCACCTGACTAATGAGGTGCATGGAAGAGGACCGGGGACGACTGAGTGCCTGCAGCTGCGACAGGAACACCCTGTCTCCTCCCCTCCTTTGGGCTGAGGCTGTCACTATCCAGGAAGCGTTTTCTTAGGTGACTGAGGCCAGTGAAGCAAGATGCATATTTAAAAATAATTACCCCACTTTTTAAACCGTCTCCTTAACTCTCATTTGGAAAGCAGAAGCGCAGAATGTCTTTTCT